GTGTGTCAAAGGAAATATGCTATTGAGCTATTAGCTGACACAAGTTTCACCAACTCCAAGCCTGTTCATAGCCCCACTGTTCCTTCTCATAAGCTGAGCAGACATGAAGGAGCACCTATTAAGGATGATACTCAGTACAGAAGAATAGTTGGCAAACTGTTATATCTGACAATCACAAGGCCTGATATCAGCTTTGCCACACAACAATTGTCATAGTTCCTTGACAAGCCCACTGATCTCCATTTACAAGCTGCACATAGAGTTCTAAGGTATATCAAAGCTGATCCAGGTCAAGGACTGTTATTCCCATCCTCATCTGATTTACAGTTGAAGGCCTTCTCAGATTCAGACTGGGGTGCATGCATTGATACTAGAAGGTCTGTGACAGGCTTCTGTGTGTTTTTGGGGGATGCATTGATCTCTTGGAAGTCTAAGAAACAGCCCACAATCTCTAAGTCATCCTCAGAAGCTGAATATAGAGCATTAGCAGCAACCTCTTGTGAACTTCAGTGGCTAATCTATCTGCTTACTGATTTTGGAATCCCTTATAACAGTCCAGCAACCATATATTGTGACAGCAAATCCGCTATTGCCATTGCTGAAAACCCAGTGTTCCATGAACGCACTAAGCATATAGAACTGGATTGTCACTTAGTCAGAGAAAAATTGAGCAAAGGCACCATAAAACTCCTTCACATTGCTTCTGGAAATCAATTGGCAGACATATTCACCAAGGTTCATTGTCCTGCTTCATTCAATCATTACATATCCAAGCTTGGATTATTCAGTCTATATAATCCAGTTTGCGGGGGGCTATTAGGAGTACAAAGTAATAGCATAACATGTGGCAACACGTGGCAGCAATCCACCACACCATGTGGCAGTAGACAGAAGAAGATAGCATGACCGTTATGGCCGGTTTTTCCTTTTTCTGTTTTGGTTCTTCTTGTTCTGGTAGAACCATTTTCCTCCCCCCTTCTCTTTGTATATATAACCAGTGTATAGCATTCTTGTTAGTTGTTGAATAAAACTCTTTCTTTCCCTCTTAAACTCTCTGTCAAACTTCGCAATATTATGAAGTTCTGTGCTTCTGATTGTTATGTTGGCTGTTGATTATGAAGTTGTGTGCATCTGGTTTCATTGGTTTGATTATAACTTACAGAGGATGCTGAAAGTTAGGGTTTTAAAATTTTTGATTAATGTAGAGGGCTTCTGGTTCATTGAATGTGTTTTTGCTTTTGAATATATGGCCATGTTCTATATTAATTAAAGATTGATAAGCTAGGTCTGAACTTCATTGATTCTAGTCGGAGTTCAATTTCTCTGTATATTGAGGTATCTTTTGAGCAATTTGAAAGGAATGCTAAGAATTTTGTGTGACTCATTTGATTAATTTTTCCTGGGGTTGTGAAATTTTGCAGTCTCTTCCAGCAATGAATCTAATGCCATATAATTTTTCTTGTGTGCCATCTAACTTGTTTTGTCTTTCTTTCGTCATCATATTTTTTATATTATATATGGTTGTATTTTGAATATCAATGGTATGATGCTGATATTTCAGTTTATTAACCACAGCTGCAAAAGGTTCAGATTTTGACTCTAAATATTGGAGTTGTATACAGGTACTGTACTTGATGTTTATATGCACTGATATCATTTACTTATGTTGATTGGTGTCCATCTTTAATCTTCCTAGTTCTTCTTCTTGTATTCGTAGTTAGTTGTGTTTCTATCCAATGTTCACTGTATGAGATAAGTGATAAAATTAATTGATTAGAAATTAATATGTTTCTGGTTTCATGAATCATGCTTAAGAAGTTGGTCCTTGGCATGGTAGTATATAATTTGAAAGTTCTTTTAGTATATCTATTTCCTATTCTCAAAAATAACTTTTTTTTTCATTTGTTAACTTTGCATAAATAATATTTGTTTCTTGTTTGCAGTGGTATGGGACCTGATTCTAGAGTTTTGGTTTAGAAAAGTATGAAGCAAGCTCAATGATATCACCGCCTCTATAAAATATGAATTCTTTCTGTACAAGCTCTGCAAGTTGCATTTTATTACCATCCTTTTGCTTTGTGTGCAAGAACCTTTTATGTTCTTCAAACCAAACAAACAAAAAAAAAAAAAACTTGTTACATTAAGAATCCCTATCAAGACAAGTGGCTATGATTATTTTCAAACTCTTAGGTGTCAGCAACAATGCAACATTTGTTGATTTTGTCTAACAAATATGTGAAATATGGAATCTCATTTTGTATATTCTGTTAATGGTTAAACACAGGAACCAATCCCTGCCACACAACTTGTGAGGGGAACTGCAGCAGTGATGTAGGAATTCACTTAATCAGGGTAATTGTTATTCTATGATATTCTGTCTTGAAATATGCGCCACAAGGCATTCTAATATATAATCATGATATGGGGATTAAATTTGAATATAATCATTGATCTAGGGGTAGAAATTTAGGTTGGGGGAACATGTTCTTCCTCTAAGTATAAGAAGAGTAAATGAGAGGAATTACTTTGAGAAAAATCTTATCTTGGAGAAACAATTTATTTTCATCAAATCAATTGATGATTTTCGCTTTTAAGAGCATGCCATATTTTTTCACCTTTTCTACAATGACATTTCCTTTTTATCCCTTCTCATTTACCTTTCGCTTGACTGGTATAGTTCAAACTTAGACATCCTTGCCGTCATTTGACAAACAAAATTCAACTCAAAGTCTGATGTTTTAATATATGATGTATGTATATTTAAAAAAGAGCTAACTTGATGTACTCTTGTTGAACCCCTTTTGATTCTGTTTCATTGTTTCTTTCATATAGTGGTGTAAGGTCATTTGGTGTTTCTCTCTTAGTTGCTGGGATTGATGACAAGGGTCCCCAGTTGTATCAGGTATATTATCCATGGCTAGTTATTGTGTAATTTTTCCGACTAATTAAATTGGATATCATATATACTTCTTGACTTTGTTTGGTTTATTCCTCCAATCAAGCTGGAGGAAGTCTGTTGTTGTTTGTTACATGTTTTGTGTTTCAAAAATATGTAAAGTTCTTGCCTTGTTACATATATACTGATTTGCCAAAAAGAACTAAGTTGATATTGCATTTTATCTGTTGGATCTTGAAATCACCTAATAGTTCAAGCTTAGACACCCTTGCTTAGTGCTTACTGTTCGATATTGTTTTATGCTTTATTGATCATTTGTTTGACATTGAAATTAGGTGTTTGATGAATTCTCTTTGGGCAATGATGAAGCAACTTGTGGATTTCATATATTCAGCTGAAGAATGCAGATCCCCTATGTTCAAATGCAGCCAATGAAACAGCCTGTGGATATCAAAAGATTTTTTTTCTTTTACTTGACAACTTTCCGACCACCAAAAGTGGTCGGAAAACATTTTTTTAATTACACAGAATATAATTTCATCCCGGCAGCCAACTTTCCCATGCAACGAAAAGTTTCTGACACCCCTATTTTTGTGGACGGTATTTCCGACCACTGCACGGAGTGGTCGGAAGTACCGACGGGGGTTTTCCGAACCCCAAGAGTGGTCAGAAATGTGGTCGGAACAGTGATTTCCGACCGGATTTTGGCGATTTCCGACCACTTTTCTGTGGTCGGAAAATCGCTGATTTCCAACAATGAGTTTTGGTTTTATCGGGTTGACCCATCGAGTTCGGGCTAAATTGATATCCCTATACAACAAAGATAATTTCTGTGAGACTAGGGTGATGATACCAAAGATGTCAATGACAATAAGATTGCCTTTCAAATTCCAAAAAAGACAATTCCCACTTTATGCTGTCATATGCAATGACCATTAATAAAAGCCCATTAATAAAAGCCAATAACATACACTATCTCACGTATGATGCTAAAGAAACATGTTTTTGTACACAATCAATTGTATGTTGCCAACACAAACAGTTTAAAGATCTGGATTGACAACAAAGGCGATACGAGTTGTACTAACTACAAATTTTGTTTCACATGAAGTGTTCAATAATATGTAATTTCAATTCAAGTTTAAAACTTTTCCTTCATATTCTCTTATTATGTGAAAATTTCCACAATCATTAACAATATAAAAAAAAAAATAAAACGACCATTTAGTAACAAAAAACTATTTTCTATATTTTAGTACAAAACTATATAAAACTTTTATACCATACACCAGGTGAGGGTGTAAACGAATCGAATCGAGTCAAATATCTCAATATTCGATTCGAATTCGACTATATATTCAAATATTCGTATTCGTATAATATTCGAATCTCAAATTTGATTCGTATTTGATTCGACCAGTTTATTCAAATATATTCGATTCGACTCGAATATTCGAATTCGAAATGCCTAACATAATTTTTTATAAAATTCTCCAATAAATTAAGATAAAATGTAATAAAATTTATATTTAAATAGTATAAAATATTCGAATATATTCAAATACTATTCGAATCGAATACACTCTAATTCGTATTCGTATTCGAAAAATATTCGAATCGAAAAAAGTATTCGAATTCAGATTCATATTCAAAATATTCAAATTCGGATCAACATATTCAAATTCGAATCACAAATCAAATTTTTTTTAATTTGATTTGTTTACACCCCTAACATCGCAAAATGCATTGTGCATCCTAACTCAAAACAACATCATTTTTATAAGTTATGTGGGAAAATTAACACCACAGACACCATCCCGTCAGTCCAATCCTTTTACAATTTTTTTTAACACTTGTGTCCAATCCTTTTACAGTTTTTTTTAACACTTGGGTCTATATGTATTAGGTTAAGAGTACAAAAAGAAAAAAGGTCTCTAATGAATCATTTAAGCCCTTCAACTCACTTATTTGGGATTTATGAAGGCCAGGCCATGTTCACAAATATTTTAATTTGTAACTATTATAACCCGATTAAAAAAACATCAATGTATAGCTCAAGGAAATGATCCACCATGCTTCAAATATGCATATTTATACAGTGTGGTTTCTAGCAATGAGTTGTTTCATAAAAGGATATTTAGGTTTGATTTTTGAAGAGGTTCAATATTTCAATTTGCAAAAGAGACTTGCATTTGATTCATGAGTATAATATTTCAAAGCATAACAGCATAACCCACCTAGATTATCTCAACATATAGATCTACTTTTGTATGAAAAGAATTTAACAATTACAAGTTAGACTGCTAATACAAAAATCATAACTATAAACAAAGATTAAAATAATGTGGTTCCTCAACGTCCAAAAGCTCAACGTCCAAAAGCTCAACAATCATCCAGCGAACACAGTACTGCACTAAACAACAAAGCTCGAACTGTGAAAACAGCAACATCAAAACATTAATTTGCAATTAACAAAACTCTGTAAAAATCAAATACTCCATATCTAATGTGTGAAGAACTCAGTCCCTTAGATGTTCATAAAGAGTTACGATCATCTTCGCAAATCATTACAGGTCTGTAGAGATCATCAATGTTCAACACATACACCATTCACATTAAAAATAGTAATCATTTCACTCAAGTACACAAGCATGCAAAACAATCTAAATCAATTCAAACAAAATAAATCAAAAGAAAGTAATGTAGATGCACCAGTGTAGTCCCGCAATGTAGAGATAATGAAGGACTGGAAGTAGAAAGAACATCACACTCATTTTTGCTTCAAGGGAACGAGTTGGGCAAAAACTTGAAAAATTTCACCAACCAGATAGTGAAGCTTCAAAACACTACACAAAAACTGAACATCTGACATGCAGATTCTTACCGAGCAGAGAAACAGTAAAACACCTTCAATAATCCCTTAGTTTCAAGAGATCAATACACCTTTTACCTTTATAAACTTGTTATTGTATGGCACATTTGATATTGACACCACAAAATTATACACAATCCAAATAACCAAAGTATAAATTGGGACAGGATAAAACTCAAAATCATAAAGAAACATTTTCTCATGTTGTTGCATCCAATCCTTGTTGAGGATTGTAGTAGTAGCCATGAGAACAAGGCAAAACATGAACACACACAAACATATATATATATATATATATATATATATATATATATATATATATATACACACACACACAAACATATATAGCATGTCTATTATCTATTATTGGAAACAAATGTATGGTAAAGGCCACTAGTAAACACCACCTTGCAAAAAATAGAGGGATGTTATCAGCGAAACCCCCACAAGCTTGATTTGGGCCTCCCATGAATCATTTAAGCACCTTAACTCAGCTTATTTGGGATTATGAAGGCCATCTCATGTTCACAAATAATTTAATTTGTATTTACAATGACCACAAAAAAAAAAACCAAGTATAGCTGGATGAAATGATCCAACATGGCTTCAAATATGCATATTCATACAGTGAGGTTTCTAGCAACAAAAGGTTTTACTGTGATTTTTGAAGAGAACTTGATTTTTGAAGAGGTTTAATACTATTCCAATTAGTAAAAGAGTCTTGCATTTTGATTCATCAGTATGATACTTAACATTTATGTATCAAGAGAACTTAATAACACTTATACAAGTTGAACTCCTAATTCAAACCTCATAACTACAATGAAACATTAAAATAATGTGGTTCCCCGACGTCCAAAAGCTCAACAAAAGCTCTGGATAGCGAGGGGAACATCATCTAGCTTTGATCAACGCAGCTCTGCACTATACAACGAAGCACGAACTGTGAAAACAACAGATTCAAAGCCATAGTACGAAACATTAATTTACAATTAACAAAACTCCGTAAAAAATGGAATATCTCAAGTGTGAAGAACTCAGTCCCTTAGATGTTCATAAAGAGTTGCGATCATTCTCGCAAATCATTACAGGTCTGTAGAGATCATCAACGTTCAACACATCCATGATTCACACTAAGAATAAACAGATCATCATTTCATTCAAGTACACAAGCATGTGAAACAATCTAAATCGATTCAAACAAAATAACTCAAGAGAAAGTAATATAGATGCACCAGTGTAGTCCAACAATGTAGAGAAGCAATGAAGGACAGAAAGTAGAAAGAACATCACACTCACTTTCGCTTCTAGGGAACGAGTTGGGCAAAAACTAGAAGAATTTCGCCAACCAGATAGCGAAGCTTCAATTAAATATATACAAATTGAACATCTACCGCACCAAGGTAGCAAATCGTCGGCCGGCGAAATATTGCTTCCACTAATTCATCTCAAAATTCGATGCTAATTTGCTTACCAGTTGCTTTTCTCAATTACTATATACTAGAAGAGCACCGTTGAAGAAGAAAATGTAAACAGAGATAGATCAATAGAAGCTGCGCAAGAATGAGTGTTTGATAGGGTTATATATAGATACTGGAGTTGGGTTTAGGGTTAGATAATTGGGTTGGGTTTGGTTTTTCTTTTTGGGCTGAATTTTTGTTAGTAATTGCTTAGGTTTAGAGGAGAGGAGTTGTTATACCATGAACCAGGGTCCATCTTGTAATGTGGATTCAAGTTTAAATACACAATTTATCTACTAAATGTTTATAATTTATCTTTTTGCAAAAGGCAAATTATATCGTGCATCAGAGTATACAATATGTGACATAAAAGTTTATGTGTATTATGTTAAGAGTTCATGTGTATTATGTTAAGAGTTTATTTATATTATGTATTAAGTTAAGATTATGTGTATTATGTTAGGAGTTTATGTGTATTCTACTCTACAATTATGTACATACGAAACAGGAGATTTTTAGGACGCACAATGCATTGTACGGCCTGATGCACGATATAGCAATTGTTTGCAAAATTATGAATATTATTAATTGTGTATTTTAGATTCGGGTCCATCTTGCAAAGTGGACTCAAGTCAACATAATAATTTGTCAGTTTGGAGAGTTATATAATGGGGCTAGTTGTTGTGTTACAAAAATGGGCTGGGTTTGATTTTTTTTTTTTTTTAAGATTGAATTTCATTTATATTTATAATAATTTATAATTTATGCAATTATTTCTTTTGATTTTTTTTTTAGTTTTATATTTATAACAAGTTATAATTATTTTTTTTTTTGTTTTATGCATGTTGGACTTTTCTTGAAGAATTCGGTGTTTAATCATCGCTACTTATATGTAGTTATCTTTAGGATTAGTAGTTCACATTGACTTGAAATTTCGGCATGTTGTGATTCCAATGAATGTTGTTCTCCTATTACAAATATTGTTTATCATGTTTATTAATCTGTAATATATTTGGATTATAAATACTAATATTTTTTGTTTGTGTAATTTCTATAATTATATTTATATTGTAAGTACATTTAATTATTTCAATTTATATTTTCTAAATCTTATGTGGTGTTGAATAACACAATACTTTATAATGGCCTTGTTTGGTAAAAAATTGGCCTATAGGTCAAATTTGACTTATTTGATCACACTATTAATTGTTTGATTTAGTTAAAATATCAATATAAGTGTTTGGTTAATTAGTTTTTTTGCAACTTCAAAATGTTAAATTTCAAAAAGCTACTCCAAGTAACTTTTTCAATTAACTTTTTTCAGAAAATAAATTATATCAAATAATTATCAACTAACAACTAATTTACCAAACATTTTCCTACAACAACTAATGTTATCAACTAGCTATATCCTCTAATTAACACAATCAGCTATCAGCTAACAGCCATTTACCAAACAAGGCTATATCTATTGGTGGTATGTTGTGACATTTAATATAAACAAATATAAAGAAAAAAATTACAATGTCACACACACACACACGAAATATTATTCTAAGTACTATATTTAAAATTACTATTTCATTCAAAATTAGATATTTAAATGAGGTGTTGGGTTACATCAAGGATAAGATTCTTAGCAGGATAAAAAATTGGAACAATAGATTCCTGTCTCAGGCTGGGAGAGAAGTGCTAATTAAGAATGTTCTCCAAGCTGTTCCAACGTATGCAATGAGTACCTTCTTGTTACCTAAGGACCTCTGTAGGAACATTGAAACTGCTCTTAACAGGTTTTGGTGGAAAGGGAACATTGAGACAAGTGGTGGCATAAAATGGAGACGGTGGAAGGATCTATGTAAACCCAAATCCTGTGAGGGCATGGGATTTCGGAGGACGAGAGAGTTTAACTTAGCCTTGTTAGGCAAACAAGGTTGGAGGTTTATTCATCACCCAGATTCCCTTGTCACGAGAGTTTTTAAAGCAAAATACTTCAGGCAGTGTTCCTTCCTTGAAGTCAAATTGGGGTCCAATCCTTCCTTCGTTTGGAGAAGTATTATGGAATCTCAAAGTGTATTAAAAGATAACTGCAAATGGAGAGTGGGAGATGGATGCTCAATAAATGTATGGACAGACCCTTGGTTAGCAGATTCCCAGTCACCCTTCATCAAGATTGCCATGCCAGCCTACCTCAGCGATGCAAAAGTTTCGTCCCTTATGACCGTCAATGGCACCGGTTGGGATGAAGAGCTAATTGATGATATTTTCAATGAGGAAGACAGAGACAATATTATGAACATCCCCCTACCGGTTTCTAGTCACCATGATAAGCTAATTTGGTGCAAGGAAGAGAAAGGCATTTTTTCAGTCAAGAGTTGTTATAGGGCATTAAATGGAGATGTCATCTTGGACCCTTACAAAAAATGGACTAGCATCTGGAAGCTATCTCTGCCACCTAAAGTAAAAATTCGTGTATGGCAGGCCTGTGAGAACGTTCTTCCTACAGCTGATAACTTACGTAGCAGAAGGGTGGATTGCTCTCTGATTTGTTGCCTTTGCAGCCAAGATGTGGAGACTACGGATCACGTGTTCATGCATTGTGGAGTGGCTAGAGCTTGCTGGAACAGTTTTTCAGGAGTTGCTGATCCTAATGATGGTCATTTTAATACATGGGTGTGCAAGAAGATGGACCAGCTGAGTACAGATGATTTGTGTTTGTTTTTGACAACTTGTTGGATGCTGTGGAACGCAAGAAACCAGAAGCTATGGCATAACATCCAAGCTAACCACAGTTCTATTCTCAGAGATGCTAGATCTTATCTCAATGCTTGGAAAGGGATCCACTGTAAGCCAGCAACCACTTCAGTACCCACGCACCACCCCACCTGGACGAAACCACCTGAAGGCATTCTTAAGCTCAACGTTGACGCAGCCATGGACACTAACTCAAGAGCTACAGGCTTTGGTTTTATTCTTAGGGACTCCGATGGTTGCTTTGTGGCGGCTATGGAGACACGTTGGAAAGGTTTCTATCAACCACGAATGGCAGAGACTATTGGCATTAGAGAGGCTCTAAATTGGATAAAGTCCCTGGGAGTTTGTATGGTTCAGGTGGAGTCTGATGCTCTCATAGTTATTGAAAATATTACAACTCCAGCAAACTGGACCTCTTTTGACCTCATCCTTGAGGATATTAGACAACTAGCTAAGAACTTTATGAATGTTAGCTTTGTTTTTGTGAAACGTTCTGCGAATAGAGCAGCCCATAGACTTGCTAGGGAAGTTGTATTCTCGGCTGAGCGTAGAGAATGGAGGCTGATTCCTCCTCCTTTCCTTTGTGATGTTTTAAGTGATGATTTGAATTAATGAAGTTATTTGTTTGTTTTCAAAAAAAACTAAAAACTTTAAAAATACTAAGGTTAATATAGGGCAAGCATGTGACTAACGGGTCACAATGCTATTGACGGTATATGAGGACAATCGTTATATCGTGGACCGCGGTTTACGTACACCGCAGTTAAAACGGTGTTATTTCTTTGAGTAAAGAAACGGCGTGCCGTTACTATTAACGGAGCGCGCATTTTTTGGTGTGTTAATTACAAACTGAAAGTACAGTGTATCTAAACTGACACTACAGTGTATCTAAAAACCGACACTGCCCCACGTATTATTTAATATATTATCAAATGAAACTACAGTTATATCAAAATGATACTGTAGTTGTGGTGATCGAAATGAAACTGCAGTTTATATAAAACGAAACTAAATAACATTTCACATATTTGAGTGTATATTGTGCAATGAAGCTGTAGTTATATCGAAATGATCATGTAGTCGTGTTTTAATGAAACTATAGTGTATATAAAATTAAATTAAATAATATTTTTATATATTTGAGTGTATAAATATCGAACGAAACTGTAGTTATATCGAAATGAAACTGTAGTTGTGTTGAACTGAAACTGCAGTATATACAAAATGAAACTGAATAACAGAGTTACTTTTTGCGGAACGACACGAAACGGATATCGTTTCTTTTTATTAAACAAAACGACATCGTTTTAAAGCTCAGTGTATAATCAATTATTCACCGCAATGCACGATATAATTTGCCATATGAGGAACCTACTCTTGTTGCGCTTGACGTTGTAGGGACTTAAAGCCAAAGTCTCGTGGGGTCTCATTGATGTACCCATAAAAAAAATATAAAATAAATAAATAAATAAAAATCAAACAATAATGCATTGCGCTAATTATATTCAAACCTCTCAAACTTGATGAAAAAAAAATCTAAATCTTTATATTTTGTGATAATTATATCGAATTATAGTGTCTAACTCAAAAAATAATTTACTTATCTTGATTTATGTATTATTGATAGCTATAATATTTCAACATGCTTTTATGTATGTAAACTATTTTTATAGGAGTTAAAATTTTTAATTTTAATTATATTGTATATAGTACATTCTGTTATATACATTGTGTTCTTAAAGAAAATGATCTTATACTATAATTTAAAAAATAATAATTTGTTGGGCGAACTCAATAAAATCGCGTTAGATTGAGTATATCTTTTCTTAAATTGAAAATTGTAATTGTTACAAAATATAAATGTTTGTTATTAATTTGTCAATTTTTTAAAGTTTAAATATAATTGTTATAAATGATTAAACATACTCTTTTACAAAACACAAAAGTTTGAGTTTTTCACCTAGTTTTAAACGTTTTGATATAATTGTCACAAGATATAAAGATTTGAGTTTTTTTTTTTTTTTTTTTGGCCAATAAACCAGTACTTTTTGTAAGTGTACAAATTAGTACACGTTAGATTGACTAATTTATTAGTTTATTTTATTAGTATGTAATGCTAATTAGTATGAGTTGAAATTAGTATTATTGGACCAAGCTAAAATGTGTGGTGGGGATTTCTCTTTAATGAGTTGAACCAAGAGCAAGTATGAAGATCTCAAATTAAGGAATATGTGGTTGAGAAGAATTCAAGCCACATGAAAGCTACAATCAAGGCGTGGGAAAATGGAATTTGCGTACAGTATATAAGGAAGGGAAAACGAAAGAGGAAGTTGTCAATTCTGAAATTCTGATCACATACGCAAGCTTC